ATTTGTTCTAAAAGTAGTTTAAATTATGTCATTTTGGGTTTACCCCATAATCTATATTTAACTGTACGCTTTTAAGAAAAAATACCGTAAATGTAATAAATGTTTATATTAATGTCATTCAGTTTTTCTTTTTCATCCTGGCAATTGGTTGATGTGCTTGTGTGGCTGCTGCACGGCGACGGATTGTTACTTTTAAAGGGTGACAGTTGAAGTGGGGATAATTCCGGATCTATTATCATTTCTTTTAAAATTTCGTCCGTTGCTGATTTTGGTGAATTCTGTAGCCATGATTTTACGCCGGGTATTATACGGAATTTTGGTATGGTGGTTGCTTCAAAAGGTTTTTTCCAAGGTTTGATAGGTTTTATTTCAATGTTGTCGTGTTTTTTCTCTAATTTGGTGAGGTATCGTTTTAGTGGTTGTTTGTGTATCGTATTACTGTGTTTCTGGAGGTGTTCATGTCGGCTAAAAGAGTTGTTGCAGATGTAGCATATAAATCCTAATTTCTTGTCTTGGTGAATTTCAAAGTGTCCGTTGAAGTTTCTTTTTGATCCTTTCAGAAATTTGTTGCAGGTAAAGATTGTCGTAGTTTTTTGGATATTTCTTTGAAGTGTTCGTTGTTAGCTGTTAACTGTTGTTTCTGTAAATTAATTTGGATTTCCATTATTACTGTATTAAGTTGAGTCCGGATGGTGATCGTGTTTTAAATATTGATATAAGTGTTTCTTCAGTTCTGAGGCGGATGTTGACGATCTTAAATAACATAGTTACGTCGACGTCATTAACGTTGTGTTCGTGTGTTGTGTAATGGTGGGAAACGGGTTTATAATTGTTGGCATTTTTTATGTCTGCGAAATGGCCATATAGACGTTCTTTTATAGTATTGCCGGTTTGTCCTACATATTGTATTCCACATTTGTTGCATGTTATTAAATAGATAAAACTGGATGAATTACAGTCATATGTGCCTTTGATATGAAAGTATTTTCCTGTTGAATGAATTTTAACATATGATTTACTGCTGATATGTTTGCATGCGATACAATTTCTTTTACATGGGTGTGATCCTTGTGGTTTCATCTGGGGATTGATGTCTGATTTTGTGAGTTTGTTTCTTAGGCATGCTGGTTTTCGAATACTGTACATATTTTGTATTCATTAAACATTGTTAAAGTGGGGTCGTTTTCCAGGAGGTGGGTGTATTTAGAGATGATATTATTTGTTCTTAGAATAAGTGGGTTATGAGTAATTATAAGCGGTATAATTTCCTTTTGTGATTTAGTATCGACATTGGTATCAAGATTGGTAATTTTGGCTTTTTTGATGGTTTCGTATATTAATTTTCTGGGATAACTGCGTGCAATAAGGTTTTCCGTAAGTTGTTTTGTGCATATTTCAAATTGTTCGTCAGTGCGGCATATTCTCCTTATTCTGACGGCTTGGCTATATGGGATACTTGCTTTTTGGTGACGTGGATGGAATGAGCTATAGTGTAAATACATATGTACATCCGTTGGTTTTGTGTATAGTGTGGTTGATAATTTTCCTTTTAAGTCTTTGTTGACAGTAACATCCAAGAAGTTTGCTGATGTTTGGTTTATGTCTACCGTAAACTTGATCGTTGTGTGGAAACTATTTAAGGCCGTAGTGAAGGAATTCAAATCCTCTCTCGATTGTGGCCAAACCATAAATATATCGTCAATATATCTGCACCATACCAGTGGAGATATCGGGTATTTAGCTAGGAACTCTTGTTCTATCTTATCCATAAAAATTATGGCATAGCTAGGTGCGCATTTGGTACCCATTGTGGTTCCGGCAATTTGTTCAAAAAATGTATCATTGAATCTGAAACATGTTTTCTTGAGTATGAAGTAAAGTATTCTTGGAAGGATCCAGGTTTTAGGTTCTTGTTCAGATCTTTGATGTAGTACATATTTGGCTGCTAAAATGCCTTCTTTGTGTGGAATATTAGTGTAAAGTGCTGTCACATCTATTGTGACTAAGAATGCGTCTTTAGGTACGTTGTTTAATTCGTGTATTTATACCCCCCCACAACAAAGTTGTAAGGGGGGTATACTGGAATCAGCTTGAATAACTTAAGATTCCTTTGACCCATAGTCTTCATATTTGGCATTGAGGTTAGTCATGATTAGTAGATGACCCCTATTGATTTTGAGGTCACCAGGTCAAAGGTCAAGGTCACAGGGGCCTTGACTTCAAAAAGCTTTTCTTCTCAATTGCTAAAGAATGTCCTGTCCGCAATGTATGGATTTTGACATTTTCACATTTGAAGCATGTAGAATACATAACTTAGCAATGCACTGGCTTAGTAACCTCAGATTTGGCAGGGAGGTTGTACTTGAGCTGGTATAAAAATCAGTTTTTGATGAGAAAATTCTCGATCAACATAGATATGCTGAAATCCAGTCGGTTGTTTTGAAAATTCATGTTTACATAAAAATGTTGAAATCCAGTCGGTTGTAAAAAAAAAAGTCCATAACAGGGACCATACATAACTCCATGTTAAATAAATTTGTCAGGACATGCCACTGAGATGCAAAGTTCCTTTTTGTATTGATGGTTCCCATAAAATCTTGTTGAAATCAATCCAGCCGTTGCAAAGAAATAGCAATATTGCTCTATATGCACAATTAATCAAGGGCAATAACTCTGTGCTGAAGGTTCTGAATCGGAACAAACCGATGATAATTATGCTCTTGCATCTTGATATTGATGATTCCCAGAAAGTTTTGTTGAATTCCAGCCAGTAGTTGCAGAGAAGTAGCACGGAAACAATTATTGGTCTATATGCATACTACGTAACTAATCAAGAGCCATAAGTCTGAGTTAAAGTGTCTGACTGGAACAAGGCAATGATATGCCCATCGCATCTTGATATTGATAATTCCCATAAAGTTTCAATGAATTCCAGCCAGTAGTTGCAGAGGAGTAGCACAGAAACGATAAGTGCTCTAGTTATGCATACTACATAACTATTCAAGGGGAAAATCTCTGTGTTTAAGTGTCTGACCGGAACAAGGCGACGATATGCGCATCTCCTCTTGGTATTGAAGGTTCCCATAAATTTTCAATGAATTCCAGCCAGTAGTTGCAGTGAAGTAGCATGCAAACGATTTTTGCTATATATGCATACTGCATGACAGGGCGAAAATATTTTCACTCCCCCCTATATGATCGGAAAAGCGAAATTCTAGTCGCCCTAAAATCTCTATGAATGGTCTGACATGTATAATTTTTCCATCGATAATACTGCCTGGAGGCATATTAAATTGTGTAATCTGACGTAATTGGCACACGCGATAAAGCGTGGCCATAGCCACACTTGGAATTCACACTTGGAAATCCACATCGCTAAAAATAGCGCATTGATTATAGACATTAAATTTTCGGGTAAATTAAAGCTGTGAAAGACCCTGATATGAATGCAGCAGATGATAAAAAGCTAGCTAATTGATAATTAAGTTACCTTAAACGTATTTCGTGTCTTATTTACAATTTCCCCTATGCGTTTTGTTTGTTTTACAGTTTCCCCTATACGTTTTGTTTGATTTACAATATTCCCTAAATTATAAATGTTTTGTTTGATTTATAATTTCCCCTATATGTTTTGTTTGATTTACAATATCCCCTATACGTTTTGTTTGATTTACAATTTCCCCTATACATTTTGTTTAATTTACAGTTTCCCCTATATGTTTTGTTTGATTTACAATATTCCATAATTATACGTTTGCTGGTCCATTCTTATCACCATTACATTTATGATAGTAATTAATTACAACTGTATATTATGGCTATAACACTAATATTCATTGGGGCGTCCGTGGCCGAGTGGTTAAGGTCGTTGACTTCAAACCACTTGCCCCTCACCGCTGTGGGTTCGAATCCCGACAGGGACTTTGGATTCTTTCATGTGAGGAAGCTATCCAGCTAGCTTACGGAACGTCGGTGGTTCTTCTCAGGTGCCCGTTCGTGCCTGAAATAATGCACGGAAGGGCACCTGAGGTCTTCCTCCACCAGTAAAGCTGGAACGTCGCGATATGACCTATACTGTGTCGATGTGACGTAAAACCCAAAACAAACAAAACTAATATTCATCATTAAAACTGATGTAAATTGATAGAATTTGGATAATTATTATGAATTAAAGAACTTTTCTTATTTCATGCTTTCCAGTGTTTTATTGTGATATATCAGATGATTATATTCTGATAAACCACTAGTGAAATTTATAAAATATAATTTTCACTGTAGCCGGACTATATCTGAATGCGGATGAAAAGAGAATCGTAACTAAATGGAATGACAGGCAGAGATAACTGCTGTCATGCGTAAATTTTGCTTCTTAAGGAAAATAAAGTCGATGTCAACATACATCATGTTAAAAATGTAACAAAATTAGAGAAATTTAACAGAACTATATTTCAAAATTGATGATGTGACGTCATGATGTGATGACGTCACAAAGGAAATGCGCGACGTTACGCGGCAAAATCAGTAATGAAATACTTAAAATCACTTAAATAGCATGAAATAAAAAGAAAATTTATTTGTTTTACATATAAGATTGAAATATATTTCATTCGTGAACACCAGCTATTATATTTTCACTCGTGGCTACGCCACTCGTGAAAATATTGCATCTGGTGTTCACTCAGTGAAATTATGTTTCAATCTTACATGCAAAACAAACAAATATCCTCTATTTCTTAATTAATTGCATTTAAAAGTTAGTCAGAAACTGTTAAAAAACTGTGAAATAAAATTTGAAAAAAAATCCAATGATATAACTCAATTTGATGATCATGAAAAATGGTTTTTCCGTTGATTATGGTATGTCTTGTGTTACACTGTCTTACATTAACATTTTTGCATATTTTATTACACTTCATTTTGGATCCTGATTAATATTTTGGCAAGAAAACCCTGTTTTTGAACTTTTGAAACTGAAATGCAATGCTTTTTTCTACTTTTAGACTCTAGAGAAATGGCAAAGTCGGTGTTCCAAGCTGAACTGTCAATTATTACAAGAGAAGAAAAACATCACAAAGTACCAGGAACAACTTAAGATTGTCAAAGCTGAAATAGAGCTAAAGGTATGTCCTGATCATGTACATATACCTAACTCTTGTTAGGCCACAATCTGCTAATTTCTTAAAAGGACTTGCCTAGTTTCCAATTTATTGAACTGTCAATTGTAAATTTTAGAGATATGAAGATGAAACTTGAAAGTTTTTAAGTCAAAAGTATAGAAACTGCATGGATGTGCAGACCTGCCTGACTATACAGGTGAAAAAGATAAGGTTAGTGCTAGGGTCTCTAGGTTAAAGGTTAAGGTCACACTTAGAGGTCATTGAAAAATGCTTGTTCAGAGAAAAACTTATACATTCATCGCGGGATTTTAATTTAACTTGGCACAAATGTTCACCATTTTGAGGGTAAGTATTGCACGCAAAATTCAGGTCCCTGCTACCAATGTCAAGGTCTCGTAGTGAGATCACAGCTAAGATAAAACAGAAAATGTGTACAGGGACCATTTAGTCAACATTTATTGATGTATTGTAACACAAATGATAACTATCATGACTACAAATGTAACATATGTAATTTAGGTTAATACATTGCAAGGTCAAGGTCACTAGAGATGAATAATGTTAAAATACAGATATTGTCAGGATATTACCCAGAGCATATCTCCTATAAGCATATCTATAATACCTTCATCTCTGTCAAAAGCTTTTATGACGGGCGCATTTTGCGACAATGTTGCCCTTGTTTAAGATAAAAAAAACAACAGTCTTTTATTTACAAGAATTAATATGGTTTATTTTCTTTCTCTTTTGTTTATAAAAGGTATCTGAGAAGACAGAGAATTTAGTGAGTGAGCTGAAGTCTGCTAAGGAAGAGGCTAATGAGTATTTATGTAAATACCACACCCTCACTAAACGCTACACACTTCTAGAGGAGCAAAATAGGAAACAGATGAACACTGCAGGTCTGTAAAAAAGTTTTTAGCTTGGCTGATAGTAGAAAAGTAGAAAAGCGGGTTATATTAATCATGTTGTCAGTGGTGTTAACACTGGCATTTGGGTAATACTTGGTTAGAGTTATATACAGTGAAAAACATCTTGAAATTGAGAGTGCCATATTAAGTGATGGATTTGGACTTCTTTATGGTAAAATTTTCTCGAATTATTCTTTACAGACCATGTAAAAGCTTAGACACATTGAAAAAAAAACGATACATAGGAATGGGTGTAGGTTTTTATAAAGAATATATAGTGAAAAAAATCAGGACTCATTTTACTTTGACACATCAAGAAAATCGACTACTTGAAATTCAACACATAGAAGTTCTACAGTATCATTAACCACTGAAGGTATTGAGGCAAAATGCCACACATGTCTCCTAAGATTTGTTGCTCTAGCATAAATTTGTACTTGATTATACTCCTAATGTGAACGCATATGAGCCGCGTGATGACAAAACCAACGTAATGCGTTTGCGACCAGCATGCATCCAGACTAGCCTGCTGCGCAGGCTGGTCTGGATCCATGCTGGTCGCAAAGGCACTATGTTGTTTTTGTCTTGACGCGGCTCATATTGTATGCAAGTTTTGTGTCCATAACCACTGATGCTATTCACTGGAAACATTATAAACGTCTTCTTAGCCATGATTGCAGGTCACTGAACAAGACTTGTAACTCTAGTATGTAGTTTTATTGAATTATTCCCCTTTGTGAACTAGAAAAATTTCTTTGTGGCTTTTGTTTAAATATGAAGAACTGAGGGTAGCGATTTATCTGTCCATTTGGTAGTTGTTACTGTACAGCATACTGTTCTGTGCAAGCTTTGAATGATTTTGCCAGTATGAATGAAGTTGAAAATTTGTATGCTGATATAAGAAAAAAAGGTGCTGAATAAAAGTATTATTTTATGCTTTTTCTGTTTGATAAATGAATCAAATGTAATACACAAGACAGAGAACCAGACACAAGCTGTCAGACAGGTATATGTAGCTCTCAGGTAACTGGGGGTTACTGAGCAGAACCTCATTATTGCTGTGAACTGATACCCTTGAGTGAGATACTCTGTTCTGTACAGCAGCCAGTGTAAGATTCTTGTGTGACATACTAGTGCTACTGTGTTGATGGTGATTGGGAAGTGGGAGGAGAAGGGGCAGCTGAGGTTTTCCTCCACCAGTAAAAGAAATATTTTGAATATTTTGGAATATAGTGGTCTATGTATCTGATAGTTTACACAAAAATATTCGTTGAAAATGGCAAATGAATAGCTTTTTAAAGACTGCCTGAATGTGTACTTTCTTTTCAGGAGAGCTGTGGCCTAAAGGTAAAGGTGTCTGCCTTTCAACCCAGCGGTCATGGATACGAGCCCTTATCGGGTCATTGCTATGTTTCATTATATGACACAGTACTGGTTGGTTCCAGGAAACGGACTCAAAAGTTATCATTATAAATTGCAAAATCTTGTTCCGCAATTCAGCTTAAATAAATATGTTTAAACCAAACTTTATAAAACAGCGTGATTAAAGTGGATTTTTTTATTTCAGGTTCCGGACCAGTTAAAGGCAGTGGTACGCAGGGTAATTTTGATAAGATGGATACAGCGGTGAAGCAGGAGCCTGGTGAGACATTTACCAGTGAACAGACAGATAGATCACAGCTTACAGATACTGGCCCCATAGCTAAAAGGCTAAGGCACTCTGATCAGGGTATATACTGTTTATATAGAACATTTTTTTAAGAAAGTAAGAAATTTATTTCATAAACAAGAAAGGGAAAAAATAAGAAGGGAGAATACTCTACTTGCCTTATCATTTTTATGCAAGGAAGTTATTTCCCTTGCTTATAAATAAAATCATAATCATAATAGTAAATTCGCTGTAAAATATAGGTGGTCAATTTTTGCATAGATAATTGTTAAAACTTGTATATTTTTAGGAATACTTCTATTGATCCATGTTTTATTACCTTTGTTGAGAACATGTTGATAATACAACTTGTAGACTAACTTGCCTTGAAGAAATATTGCTAGGTCTGTAATGTAATTTTATAACAAAGAAATCTTTTTTTTCCCCATCGATATATCCTATGTATTTTCCACATAAAATAATCTTGTGTTTGAATCCCAAAATGATTGATATAATACAAGTCAAAATACTACTTTATTTACATTTTGATACTTTTATGACAAATAACTGTCAAATATATGCCATTTATTGTCTTGTTCATAAAAATGCAGGTATACAAGATACTGTGACGAAGCTTATTGAGGAGGAGGAAAAAACACCACGGAGGAAAAGTCCCCGATCCCTCTCGCGTTCAAAGTCAAAATCTGACGCTTCATCTGCCTCCAAAACAACTCCTGTGACAAAATCGGCCAGTGCTGCCACACCCAGTCCCAGAACAACTGATAACCACTCGAACATTTCAGATAACCAGTCCAATAAAAGTGCAATAGTTAATAAACCAGTCTCAAACACATTAAGTACACAGTCTGAAAAATCTGTATCACTGACTCATAAGAGACCAAAAGGGCTCCGACCAACAAGAAATCAAACAACTGGTCAGACGGCAGTGTCTACTGTGACAGTACATTGTGATTCAAGTGATAAAGACAACAGTGTTTCAAAGTCACTGTTAAAGAAGTCGGACAGTATCAATGATTCTGGGAAGGAAACAAGCATGCTCTCCATGAGTACCCTCGGTCATCTTACAGCGAAAGAAGGTCCATCAAAACTGAATGAAACTTCCCAGTCAATACTTAAGGTATGGCTTTATTAGTCCCCTACCGGTTTACCGGATGGGACTTTAGGTTTACCCTCCGTCCGTCAGTCCATCCCTCAGTCCATTTGTCTGTCAGTCCGTCCGTCCACAAAACTGGATCCCGTGATAACGCAAAAAGTACTGAAAATATTTTTATGAAACTTGATATATGGATAGATGGCAGATTGGAGATTATGCACGTCTTTTTCTTTTCTTCCTATGTTGAAAATTCTGGTTCACAACAAATAGACTGAAAATATGGCAAATTTTACACATAACCTAGATCCAGTGATAACGCATAAAGTACTGAAAATATTTTTATGAAACTTGAAATATGAGTAGATGGCAGTCTGTAGATTATGCACATTCTTTTCGTTTCTTCCAATGTTGAAAATTCTGGTTGCTGTGGCCAACAATAGACTGAATTTCAAGATTTCTGATTCAAGTTTTAACGTTTTTTCACTATAAGTTCTTTATTTCTTAAGTATTTTCTTCAAAACTTTAAATATAAGTTTCTAGTCATCAACCACATCAAATGTGACAAGGTTTTCAACTCTAGCATAAAATTTTATCAGAATTTTCATGAAAAAAATACTGTTTTTTTAATAACTTTTTTTTGTGAATGTTAATCTACTTCAAACTTCATATCTATGTTTCTTATTATCATTTAACATTTGTGAAAAAAGTTCAATACTCTAGCAAGACTATTTCCAGAATTATGCACCTTTTGAACTTGGACTTTTTTTGAGAAATTGGTAATTTTTACTCCAACTTTTTCAATCATTTATAGGATTTTCTTCAAACTCCCACATCATAATAATTGACCAAGGTTTTATAAATCTAGCCTCCATATTTCCAGAATTATTCCCTCCTTAAAAATTTGAATTTTTCTCATTCATTTCTTTTCACTTTCTTTTACTTCAAAATTAAAAAAAAAAATTCATTTATCAACACCTTCATTACTAATTGTTCTTTGTTACCCACATCATGTATGACGTCTTGCATCTTTATTTCAAGAGTTATCTCCTCTTTAAGAATTTTGCTTTTAAAAATGTTATATTTTGATAACAGGGATGTTTAAAGAAATAACTTTAGAGTGTCCTTCAGTCCGTCTGTTTGTCTGTACATAAAAAAACTGTTTCCTGTGATCATTTTTAAAGAACTTTTTCAACAAATTAGAAACATAAGTGAATGGCCCTTCAGACTGTTCCTGGGGTTTTAACCAGTAGGGGACTTATGGATTGCTTGCAATACTATGATAATTGCTTGTTTCATTGTGAATACAGTGTTTTTACACCATCTTTAGTAAGGTCTTAAAATTGTACTTAATTGTACTTTGCTAGGCTTGTTAGGTCAAATGATTTGTTTTTCGATTAAATGTTTTAAATAAATTGTCAAAAAATGTGTGCCATGACAAGAACTGAAGAATTGCTAAGTGCACATATTTTCATATATTTATCATTCTTTTACTTTCACTAAGGAAATATTTAAGAAATAGTATTCATCACAGAGTGTCTTCTTGCATTATAATGACTGTTTAAAGATTTAAAACACTGATGCCATTCTGTTCAATGTTTAGGGCTGACTGGGCAGTTGCTATACTTGGTTCAAAATGATTTGTTCTATTTCTTATAACATAGTGATGGTACCACACGTAGATTCTGTAAAGATTTATAAGTTGAAGGAAATAGTATTTCTAAAGGCCAATTATGCCACAGAAATGTTTTTATTTCCCTTGAGGTACGTTTATATTTTAAAAAATTTACTCACAGGCAAATTGTTTTTTGGCAATAAGTACAATTGTAGTTAGTTAGTTAATTAATTATTACAGTGTAAATACGGAAAATGAAAACAGGCATTGATCAATTATATAAAATTTTAATTCATATTGGGATTGGTACATACACAAACTTCACAAATTCTGCATGTTCAAGGGTCCTGTGAATCAATTTTATTTTGTGTGTTACAGAAAAATCCCCTGGGAACGATTACCAATAGTCCTGTGAAGAAACAGCAGTCCACCAGTGATAGTTCATCAAGTAAAATTGCCGGTCCCCAGCGTGTACTTAGTTTGAAGAAATCGCCCTTCATGATGAGAACCAGACGAAAGGCTGAACAGCAGGAACAGAACTCATTGACGGAGCAAGAAGAAAGTCCAGCTGAGTGTAAAACGTCATAATATGAACATTGCATATTGTTGTACATATATTTTAATATGTTGAAATGAAAACAAGTTTTTTTATCCAATCATTGGATTCTTATGACATAGTTATAGTTAAGTATCGTTTTTCTATTGTTGTTTTTCTATATCTTAATTTTTTTGTGTAGTGAAATCAATGTTAAACTGTAACAGAAAAATATAAATAATAATTTTTGCATCTGTTTTACCCTCTAGGTGAGTAATTTCTATGGTGAGTAATTTCTATTTGGCATTGTATTGTTTTCAATCCTTAATGTTGACATTTTTAGCTTGTCTATTTTGAAGAAAAAATGTAAAAGTCAAGCTTTCATGATCGCTATATCACCGTCTTGTGAAAAAATTTAATGTTTCCCATCTTTCAACCATTTTACAAATTATCAGCATGTAACTTTGAATATTTGCTTTATCATGACACAGTGCAGTTGTTAGGCAAGGGGCATAATTCTCAAAGCAATATTATTAGATACGGTAAAAGATTTGCATACAACATTTACCCAGAATACTAGTAATACTGTATTTTTTGGAACCTTACATATTTTTGTAGGGAGGATTGGACATGTATAACCAGTAACACAGGAATGTGAAAATAACATTTGAATTGTGCAAAAGTAACGTAGAATTGTACAATTTTACTGCCGAAATGAGGATCATTTTAAGTTCATGAAACGATATATTTTTAGCAATTCAAATTAAAAGAATTGAATTAGAAAAAACGTTTTCTGAGACATTATACCATGAACCTCATTAAAAATATTTCCAGGATTATTTGTGAGAATGATCTGGCTAGGGTATTGAAGCCATTTTTTTTAGCTTTATCAATGTTAATTACACAATAATGTAAAACTTAATTTTTTTTTTTTATATTTGGTAAACCTAAGACATTTGCCAAACTACTTGTGTCATGTTATACTGAATTTAGCAGATAAAACGTGACTTGAGACCATTTTTACATGGTCTTGTGAATGATGCACCGGATGAACCATGATGCACCGAAACCGGTAGTGGGGTCATCATACTCGCATATGATCTCTAACAGGAAACATATTTCTGGAAATGTTTGTAACATTAATGCTGGTTAAAGTATAATGTCATATCAGCCATTGACTTTCTGTTGCATGATTCATCTATTATTTTCACATTCCTGCATTACTGGATTTACACAGTGGGATAGGTGCAGGGGAATGTCAGCTGTAGATTCCTCTAGCATGAATTTTTTTAGTTACATAAAATAAACAGTATTACCTTTCCTCTTATTTTGTCGTCAATTACCGGGGAGTGTTTCACTAACGTACTTACTCTATCGTAACTCCAGGTTGAACGTAACTTTTTGCGTAAGCTTATGGAATGTAAGTGAAGCTCACCTGGTGATTATCAACCACATTGTCAGATGGGCAGGTGTTTCTATTTTCTCCCACACTCACTCTTAAATTCTCAAAACATTTCTCCCTCACTCACTCTTAAATTCTCAAAACATTATCCTTGATGTGTTTAAATTTTTGTAGTGAATTTTTGTAATCAATTTTTATCTGCTTTTTTTCTTTATAATTCCTGTCTATGCTACATACCTGTCACTTGATTTGCCTGTGCATAGATTTCTCTTTTAGAGCTTTTGTGTTTATTGTTAACTTTAATATTTACTATAGTGCTAGTATCAAAGTCTGTTTACTGTTAAAAAAATATGAATCGATACAAATTAAACATGCTGAGTACATTTTGTATATGCGTAATTAATAAATGTGGTAGACGTTGGCTACAGAGCTATAAAGCTTTGTCCTTATGGACTTTTTTATTGCCGAGTTTTTTTGTTTTTTTTATTTTTTTTTTATTATTATTATTTTTCATCATTGCTGAATCTTGGACTGAAAGGATGTTCAAACTGGACAGATTACACATGTGTGTTTGGAAAAGAGATTCACTCTGTTTGTGTTCAGAAAGCTTGTTTGTACCTTAAGTTTGTAACTAAATAGTTTGACTAAATTGCAAGAAATTTGGCATTTTTCATATGATTAAAGTTTGTGTTTCTGTAAATAATTGAATATTGTTATGGACACATTGTTAGATTAGAAAAGATGTACATTATATTTTATTATACCAGTTTTGTTATTGAGAATTGTTGCTTAATTTTTTTCTTTAAAGAGTTTTTCTACACCATTGTCAGTAAATATTTTTTGTCTCTTTCTTAGTGTATTCTCATTAGTACAGTCAAACCAATATTACAAATCAATATTATTTCTGTGAGAGCCTATTTTATTAGATGGCTTAAAGTTATTTTTTGACTCCTGAAAAAGAAGTGCCTACTTAGTTTGAGCTTGTTTTCATTATGGAGATTATGATGTTACTTGAAGAACAGTCCTTTTATTTCCTATATTTCAGATTGTTTTTGGTAGTTGTTTGTTTTTTCTCTTTCTTTTTTAATGAATAACTGTGGATTCTTCCTCTGTAGTTTCCCTGATTTTTATGATATTTTTTTTTATTAAGATGATGTAGATTGAAGACATCAATAAATTGTGATTTGCCAGTAAAAATCTTTTCTCTCTTTTTTTGTTTTTTGTTTCTTTATACTGTTTAAATGTGTGTGATTATTTTTTTATATGTTAGCAATATATATCAGTTAGACAAATAGCTTAAAGAAGAAAATGTACATAAGTAGATACTATAAATTATTTCATTTCTAATGAATAAAGACTAATCCGTATAGTTTTCTTGTGTTTTTTTTTTATTTATTCTTTTGTTATATTATTAATCCATCTGAGTACAAAGTAGTGCTAGCTAATTTGATATGCCAGTGTTACTTTAAACAAAGTGAACAGCAGTGAAACATTGGACCAATCAGGGTGGTGAGCTATGGAAATAGCACGATGATGTCACCATTCAGGGTGGTTATTCACATTTTCTTTCAAGAGCATCTTTACCACGAAGTAGATTTTGACCAAACTTCACAGGAGTAGGAAGTGCTCAGAGTGGTGAACATTGGAAATATGATGTCAGCATTTTGGACGGTTATTCTCCTTTTATATCTTTCAAAACATCTCCTTAATCACGTAGTAGATTTTGACCAAACTTCACAGGAAGACAGTTTTATCTTGCCCACTCGCAAATAGTATAACATAATGTTGCATTGGGCAAGACTTAAATATGCTTTGTTGCTAGAGGAGCACATACTGTATTTACATACATGTATATACAAATTCATTGACTTGGATACCTCAATAAGAATTCACAAATCCTCCCATTGATTGAAATATATAAATCATAATGTTACATGGTCCAAAACCAATCTGCCGGTATTCTCACAACATACACTACATAATAAGGATATAAAGTTTGAAAATGAAAAAAAATAAATGTATACCTAACAGTATAGACTTTGGTTATATTCGCTGACTGGAATGCAAATTTTCTTACGTCGGTTAAGCGAGAAAAAGAAAAGTAAGCGCACACATGGCTATTCAGCAACAATGCAAAACAGTCGTGAGCAGCAACTTTACAAAGCTGTGATATTAACAGATCATTTCCTAAATTTGATAAATTTACCAGAGAATTCCTGGCTCTAAAACGGGTGCTGAATTACCCAATCAGCAGATGACGTAGTCATTCTACTTTAATATTGAATATTCTTTATTGATGAAAAGTACAAGTATATATATAATAATTATATATATATATTGGAATATATAAGGCCAATTAGCACGAAGAAAAAGTAACGGCCACTGTGGTGTAGTGATTAGCATACTGGACCGGCAATCCAGAGACCCGTGGTTCGAGTCCCGGCTGCGGCATGCCGATTTTTCGTGCGATTTATATATATATATATATATATATATATATATATATATATGTATTTATATATATTAATCACTGGAAAAAGTTTCTACATGTTCAGAGATTGCGTCTTTGATCAAGAATTTCTCAACAACCCGCAAAATATCCATCGATTCAAGTGTTTTCTTTAATATACATGTACACATTGACTATTATGATGATATGACGTCGGTTCACGAGTTTACTGGAAAAGTACTATCCCATACTTGTTTACTTTTTCCCCGACCTCCTGCCTAGTCACAGACCTTCCTCAAGCTAGCAGGATATCTTTATATGGTTCTCTCTTGATAAGTCATTGCCATACAGAAGTGATAAAATTTAGTCCAGCGGTAATTAAATATTCCTTTCTGCTATCCGTTGATCCAGTTCAATATACTCAATGGGATGGATTATACAGGAGTATTCCACGAATTCCGAAAACATAAAAATATATATTATTTGAACTTATTTCATAAAGATCAAATGGGGCACTTAAATTAGAAAGATAGAAAGAAGATAATTAATAAATATACTCGGAAATGAATTGAAAATTGTGTTTTTGCGATACTTTTCTTAGCTCGATTTATGTCAAAAGCGTTGCAACACTTTTCAATTTTGTGTCATTTTTCAAAATTGGAATAATTGCCGGTATTCTGCTGAAATTTTGCACAAGTGTTATTGGTCCAGATCTACATTAAATGGAATATTAATCTTGGGATGTTATTTCCACTCCTTTCATGTCAATAAACCTCTGTGAAGTTCGTTTAAGGATGAGCGGTGTTTAAAACTCGGTCTTTGCTGAATCTTATAGGATATACGAAACTCCTGTAAAATCCATCCCATTATATCATTTATTGAGAGTATATTGACATGAATGTCAATAGCCTCTATGCACGGGACCTAACCGTTGTTTCTGACCTATGCAATTATTAAAGAGGGCAAGGGCCTTAAGGAAGTTGAAATGTGCCTGCAACTGTACGTTGTGATGGCGATTTATCGCCTGACCATAGCTCGATCGTATTTTCTTCCTGCCGGAAATCTTTAAGACCATACGTGCCAGCATACGCATTTGCAAATAATTTTAGTTCAAATTTGATTACTTTTACAGAACTACTGCGAATACGATAATTGCGATGAACTGTTGTTTCATTATGAGAAAAAATCGAAGAAAATCATACGCATCGTAATGTAATTTAAAGAATATTTTCACAATAAAACTTCAAGATCTGTAACAACAGAAATTTTTTAATGTCTAAATTTGACAATTACATACGTCACTGGTTGCATTTGAAAACATTTTCAAGCTATTAGTATGCCCGCAAGCTGGAACCGTCACACAGGAGACTTCAATCAAACAAACATAGAGCTATATATGCTATATAGCATTGGCGACATGACGACAAAACTGTCTGGCAGATTAAATGTAACTATTTTAGAACTCAAATCTAATCTAATGTGACGATTTTTATCGTAGATGTCTCGATTCTAAAACGATGTTGTTTTTAAGTAACCTCTAACAATTAAATTTAGGTTCTACAAACATCTCAAAAAGGATTTTTATCCCGAAACCAAGTTCCTGTGGAAATAGCTAGTATAATTATAACTACATGCGTGCTTAAGATCACGTATTTTTAGTATTTATTCTATTAAACGTACGTTGATTTCACATCGATAGTTATAGCTTCATATAGTAATAATAGATAAAAAAAGGACATCAGTGAGGAAAACAAAATATAAAATAGAGAATAGAACAAATATCAGTATGACAAGTTTCGTGTATGAAATAATTATATAAATTTAGGGCTACACATGCAACTCCTTGGCGACCATAACTACCTCTAGAAGAATAAATACCATCAGCATCAAAGTATGTCACTGTGAAATTATCACAATGTAATAAACAAAAAATTCAAGTCTTTTTCAATAATTACAGGATTCATTTTCATCTTGTGGTATGAAAATTATCATATATCACAATATTTATTTTCATACCACTCGATGAAAATAAGTCCTATTTCTTATATACTTATAAATAAAATATTGATAAAAATAAAATGCGTATTTTCATTTTCCGTATTTTTACCGTAAATATTTATTTTTCACTGCAGTGAAACATATTTTTCCGTACTTATACTGGTGTCTTGTCGGACTACTTTCTTCTTAATTCAGCCAATACACAAAATCAAAGTAGAAGTCCTAAGAATTGTAAGGTCAAAAAAGAGAAAAGGTTTATAATAAGCAGAAAATTCAAATTTTTTACTTTAAATACAGGATTTATTTTCTCTTGTTGATTGAAATAGATTATTTTCCAGTGGTTACCGCATATGATATTTTATTTATTATATTAATACTACCACTTGATGAAGCATATTTTTCTGTTTTTAATTAGGAATACTTGAATACCCTAATAGTATATATTTACTAAATTGTGAATAGTGTTCATAACCGCGGGCTATATTTGATTTTTAATTTCTGTATTACATAAGTCTCTGTATGGCTGTTTTGAGTTTCTGTTTTGCTATTGTTGAGGCGGAATATTTCGACTTTTTTCCATTGCTTTATCTGAGCTATTTTTAAATAAATAGGAATAATGAAAAAATACAAGCAATAAATGTTTTTCATTGAAGTAATTCAAACAGCGTAATTTTGTTCGTATCAAGTGACAAGTCCCGAAAATAGCGCTAATTAATTAGGAAACAATTGAAAAAGATATTCTATACTTCTGTTTTTTTAATGAAAACATGTACAATGTCCTGGTAATTTAAATAGAAAAAAATATTTTCATTGTGAATAAAACATTAAAATATAATTGTTAATTATACCACATATTTATATTACACTGAGGCAGATGTTTTGGCCAGTAAATAGTCCGCGCTATAGTATTAGTATTGGATAATATTTTTGCGATACAGGGTTGTTTCCCTTTAATAATTTACGTCCTTTGTTTGCAAGTGAGTAGCGTGTTTATAAAGGTATTGAATATTTCTGATTTAACTAGGTTATTTTACGGACCATAATCTGCCAATAATTTATTAATATCGAGGATAAAGTAAGGAAGTGGCTAGCCATGCAAGAGGAAATGGCAAGGAGATACATGTATAATTTTTGCCTTCCAAAACCAATTTAACTAACAGAATAATAACTTGTAAATGTAAGCAACTGATAAGGACATACATTCTACCTTCATTGTATTTGTATCAAAGGAAGTCCACTAAGGCTTACTGACATAACAGGATGGGAAGCATTTCTTATCAACCTTATTAGCTTAAGGTAATTCAGCATTGTCAGCCATCTATGTTTTCACTATGTCGGTCCAAAATGAAAGTAGGCCATAATTCATATAATAACAAAGCTCACAATGTAAAAATGATGAACAGTTTGCATTATTACACTTCCAGGTCTACTGTATGTTTTAAGGACAATTATAAACAAAAATAGAAATGATATTAGGAATATTTAGCTGGCTTGAATTTGCTAAATTTCTTTAGACATAAATTAATCATAGATCATAAATGGCAAAATGCAGTTTAAAAGTCTATTTTAGTGCAGAGGAATGCTATTTTTTGCAACAAACACAAAAAGCTTTTCAGTGTACTGGTATGTTCAATTTTTAGCTGAAGGTCTTGTAGAAACTATGTCAAACTTTGGTAGAGTACCAGTAATTGATGTTCACAGTGAAAATTTACGGGAGGTGTGGCCATCAATGATATTAGCATTGTCTAATGCTACTTTTGTTGGACTTGATACGGTAATCTTCTTTATACATTTAAACTTTTGATGTGCAAAAAAAGCTGCATGCCTCCGTATAAGCCAAAATATTTGAAGAACATCAAAATTGAGAATTAAAATGTACTAAAAATTTTAAGGAAAGCTAAAAAATTCAAGTAATAATTTACATGTTATGTGCAATTAATTACTAATTTTGCAGTATTTACAGTGATTTTGTTGTCAATTTTCAAAACAACCTGTGGTTAAAAAGCCGCTTTCAGAAGGGGAAAATATAGCCCAATAAATCAGAAACTGGGAAATCAAATTCCAAAAAAATGAGGATGGAATTTTACCCACACATGTTATAAAATTTTCAATTTCAGTTCAATTTAAACATGCATGGTACATAGCAGAGGCTATCTATAGGGACAGCTTTATGTCTTCTAGCTGATATAAGTCAGCTGCTGTTAAGTGGTTCTGGTAAATACAGGATTTTTTTTTATTTGAAATTTTTTGACCAATGTTTTGGTTATTTAAATTGATTGTAAATGTTGTTTGCAATGAGTAAATCATGTTCTTTGTTCATTTCACAATATTAAACTTTTAAATACATTATCAAAATTTTAATGAAAATAAGCATGAATCTGGAGGTGTGTTGCTTTAAGATTAAGGTTAATGGATTTTGTTCAGACTCATTTTGCAGTAGGATACAATAATAATAGATGCTGAAAAAATCTGCATTATCACTATGAGTTATAGTGTACATTATCATCCACACTATTTCATATATTTTACAGTCTGTCAGTGGTTCTACTCAGGTGCCAGTTTGTGCTTGAAATAATGCCTAGACCTGCAACCATTGCTGCTTATTGAGGGCTAAGAGATTAGAAATATATTTTTCTGTGGTTTAAATGAATTTCTGCTTAAAACTTTCAACCCTTATCAATTTCATTAACATCATATCCTTACTGACAGTCCACCACTCTACATTCGCTCCGAAAATGATGATCTGATATTTATGAGATTGGACTCGTATGAATATCATGAGTTTTTTGTAAATATTTTGAAATATGGCACTGATATATTTTTATAAAACTATACTGTTTCAGGAGCTGAGTGGTTTAGGACATAGAAAGAAACTTGGGGCAAAGTAAGTCAGAAGTTTTATATACATGTAATAGTATAAAACATGTCAAATGTTCCATGCATAATGTTGCAATTAGAAAAAAATATCTTTAAGAAAAATAACAAACTGAACTTTTTCAGTACTGCTTTTATGGCATTTGTATATCAACAGCCGTATGCTTTTTAATACTTCTGTATTGCAGTAACCGGTTAACTCATATAAGTTATATAGGAATTTAACCCATGACTGCTCTAAAGTGATGATATAATTATATTCTGTATATTAGTTTATATATTAGAAATGTAAAATATTTACAGATATTTAAAAAAGAAATGTAATTCTGATTCCATGTAATGCCTCATAATACAAAAAATATGTCACATGTAACTATGAGTGAAAAAAGTTAGATTCAATAGTTGGAAAGAACCATCATGTCAGAATTGTAACTAAATTTTTTTCTGAGATGGTTTATTCTGAATATCATGAGCTTATTTTTGGTTATTTACAAATACAGCATAGAGTGTTTTCTAAGTTTTTGGAAACAGCCATTTTGATCTCAAATTCGCCTCCTAATGACAACCTTCCATGTGTTTTTTATTTACCAGTAGCTCTGTTGTGTGTAATATATATTTAATATTTTAATTTTATATATATTTAATATATATTATGGTTTTTAGTGCACTGGAGTGAACTTATCTTATTTGTATGTTCTTCAAGTTGTTTACATAAAGATGACTTTTTTGTACATGAGTTCATCAATAGGTTACTTCTTTGCAGGGACTTTTTTATGAACTTGTTCAGGTATATTTATCCTTTATTTACCGAGAACGTGACTTTTCCTACGTAAACTAAAGGTCAGAAAGGACTTCTATTTTTGAATAACTTGCTGAAATTAAGCATAAAGTAGGTACAGAAATGAATTTATGTACACAGTTTTTTGAACTTTCTTATTGTTTGTAATTGCATCTTACATAAAGGTCATGCAAACTTAGTCTTACTTCTCATTTTAGTACATTTTATAGAAATTTTATAACGTTTGATTTTGTTTGTTTGAGGGAAATAAAAAAAGATAATGTGAACGTTGTAATCAAAAAGTTCAATCCATATACCGTAACTTGAAGAGCCGCTCCACAGACATGGTAAGATGAGGCATTTCATGTGTGACATGTGATACGAGAAGTGTTCAAATATGAATATAGAATATTGCGAAAAACCCAACAACTATCATGTCAGGATTGTCATGAAATTTTTTCTGAGCTGATATATTCTGATTTTCTTAATGTTATTTTTTGTTAATTACATAATTATACAGCTTTCTTATTGTTTGTAATTGCAGTTCACATTTTACATAAAGGTCATGCAAATTTTTTCTTACTTTTCATTTTACAAGAATGGTGTCCTACTGGGGTGTCTTGACTGATTTTTTTTAAGGTTCTTAACCTATTTTCAATGAATGAAAATGAGTTTAGTTTAATTATTGTCTAAGACATTAAATGTGATTTGAAAGTTGAAACTTTGTAAGATTTTTGTTATAACATTTTACTATACTTTATATAAAAAAGGATCAAAGCACAGCTTTTGCATTACAAATGTATAGTTAATGCTGTGTCCTTTCTCACTATACACACATCATGTCATCATGTTGGAAAAGTGTCTAACAATAATGTTGGAAAAGTATCTAAAAATAATGTTGGAAAAGTGCCGGACAATAATGTAGGAAAAGTGCTGGACAATAATGATGGAAAAGTGCCGGACAATCATGTTGTAAAAGTGCCTGACAGTATGCAGCCTTTTTTAGAAAACTTAATATGTAAATTTTTTTTTTAGGTCTGTTGAGGACAGATATAAGAATATATGTGAGACTGCTAAATCTAGGTCTATTCTCTCCCTTGGTGTGTCATGTTTCCAACAGATGTCAGCACCATCTAATACCAACCAATCAGAGAGCAACTGCTTGTCAAGTAGCCAATCAGGATCCAGATACATAGTTCAAACTTTCAATATCATGCTGCTGTGTGAGGAAGAGTTCATGGTTGAGCCTCAATCTTTGAGGTTTTTGGTACAACATGGCTTTGATTTCAATAAACAGTATGAGAAAGGCGTACCTTATTATAGAGGTCCAGATAAGGTAACGTTTGGAAAATAGAAAGTCCACCTTTTTATAAAATTCTAAAACAGTTATATAGAGGATATTAAGGACATTTTCAGGAGTTTTCATAAAGACATATAGGCAAAATTGAATCTGTTCAATAGAATTTCTTCAAACTTGGCATGTTGTTAGAATATGATAACAGAAACATTTTAAGCGAAAAAAAATTGGGGTCACCGTTCTTGCAACCTAAAAAGACTATGAAAATGCCTGCAAAGATTGAATCCAGAGACTGAGACTTTGTATATCTGTTGGTGAATTACAAAAAAAATATTCAGTGACACCTAAGAGTATAATTTTACTTGCTTAGATGGTTTGGTTTGAACATATTTATTTAAGCTCGATTGCAAAACAAGTTCTTGCAACTTATATTAATCACTTTCGAGTCCGCTTCCTGGAACCAACTGGTGTCATATGAAGAAACATGGTCATGACCCGATTAGGGCTCAAACCCTTGATCCCTGGGTTGAGAGGCAGATATCTTAACCACTAGACCATCGCTCCACCTGCTAAGATGCATTCATATTTGAACACTCCTCACTTATTGTAGTTTCGCAAAACATTTTTACAGGGGTACATATCTATTTAATATACAGTACAGTTTTATACCTTTCTGTTCAAATTTTGAATAACGGTAGTGAAATGGTAAAAACTATTTATTTTTCAGAAGGAAGATAATAACATTCAATCAGTTAGACATTTATTTAGTGAACTTGTTGCTATGGAGAAACCAATTATTCTTCATAATGGTCTGGTCGACCTGATTTTTATGTATGAGAATCTGTACACCAGTCTACCGTCCAGCTCAGCGATGTTTCTAGCAGATCTATGCGACATGTTCCCAAATGGCATCATCGACACAAAGTATATCACCGACTTTGAACATCTCATGCAAGCATCTTACCTGGAATATGTCTTTAGAAAATGGTAGGAAACAAGTTTTGAGACAACCCATTTAAGAGGTTTTCATGGTCAAAGATTTAAGATGGAAGACCTAAAATCACTTTTCCCTCAACTCGACCAAAAACTTAAACAAGTTAGGTTTCAGTTGTTCTACTCAAGTTCACTCATTTGCCTTTAAAAAAAGGTCAGAGGTCGTCATTCATTAGAAAAGCTGTCTCTTTATGGCTGTGACATAGTTGGTGAGATAAAACCTTATCCCTAAAAAAAAATAGGCAAAAAAGCTACCCTTTTATGCTCAACACGACCATCTGGAGTTTGTTAGAATTTTAAAGGTACATTCATCCTCAGAAACATGTGGTTTAGAAACATGTGTTTCATACTGTTTGAGTAATGGATTTAGTGCATGTTACAGGTATGTTACCTTTTGTTAAGAAAGTAATGCTAATCAAAGGTGGTAGTCATATTGATTTGACCAAAAATATGTTTTTTCTTGTTATTCATGTAATATTGTATCAATATAATAAACAATTTTAAAATAAAAAAAACTTTCTTGATTTTAGTTAAATTGTTAAAGACCAATGTAACAAATATCAAAAATGTTTTTCTATTTTAAAATCTTTTAATTTATGGATATAATATAACATGAATAAGAAGAAAAAACATATTTTTGGTCAAATCAATGTGACTGGCACCATTGTGCTAAATTTGAAATACAACATTGTTATTAAAGTACCAAAAGGTAAACAAAGTGGTATTTTGACTTCCATACAAAACTCTTCTATATTCTCAACTGTACTAAATGCTGAAATACAAAAGTAGCAAAAGATAGTTCAACTATATGGTCATTGAGTAACTGTCTGGAAAGTTCAACAGGAAGTTTTTAGACATTAAAGTTATATTATTTTATATTGCTTACTGGGCCTTTGATACTGAAAACAAGCTCAGACCAGGTATTTGTATTTTGTCTTCAGGTTAGAATGATAGGTTATAGCCCATTATTTATTTTAATTGTATTTGATAAAGATGTTACAGTGCTAGCATACTTTTAATTATATATGATAGTTATTTTAGGGGGAACGTGGCTTGGGGTTGTCCATGGATGAGTGATTAAAATTTGGCCCTCACTGCTGTGGGTTTGAATTCCAACAAGGACTTTTGATTCCAGTGATACTACTTGTGTGTCCATTCATGCCTGAAATAACGCATGTGAGGGAACAGCCTCCATTCTTCCACCAGTAAAACTGAAAAGTCACCATGTGACCTATACTGTGTTGGTGCGAAGTAAAACCCAACTAAAAAAGAAAGATTATTTTGTTGCTTATTACTTTAGGCAAAGATTGATGTGATTTTTTGTCCTTGTATCAAAGCTATAATATTTTGGTACATACATAGTAATATAAATTCTTAAAAAGCTACAGTCAACACTTGTTATCTCGAAGATAAAAAATATTTTGAGATAACGAAAAACTGTATGTTTTGTCTTTTACTTAAGTATAATGTAACCTGTTTCTGTTAAGATTAAAGATAAAAGATATTCAAATTTAAACTTTCATTTCAAAATGAAAGTTTTAAAAAGTATTTTAATTTTATTCTGATTTTCTTTCAGTCAAAAAGATAATGAAAGTAGAGCTGAAAAATGCACATTACATTTCCCACACTATCCGGCAAGTTACCCTCATGTAACTTACAGAAACTGTAACATCAAACCGAAGTTTGACATTGATCAAAATCCAGATGCTTACAAAATGGCTCTCTGTGGCTCATATTCAGTAAGTTATGAGTGATTTTTATAAGCTTGACTTTGTTGAAGATTTTGACCTTAAAATGACCTTGATGGTCAAGGTCAGTTATTGAATTTTGACTGCATTATGAAAAAAAAATTATGTTTTAACGAGTATAGATTTGATTCATACTTAAACAAAATAACACTTGATGTAAAACTGATATGTTGAATTATTCAAGTTTGACTTTGACTATCATTGCCAAGTTTTTTTTTGATTTTTAAAACTTCATAATTTTGAAACTAATGGACAGATTTGAATCATTTTTAAGAAAACAACACTTATAACAACATGTTAATGTTGAATAATTCAAGTATGATCTTCAATTCTTGATCTGTAAATGATTTTGACTTTTAAGGTCAAATATGTAATTTTGTACAAGAAAATGATGATTTTTTTCATAGAGAAACCTTTAATACAGTGTTCTTTGGATATGTTTGTATTTAGAAATAATAAAAATTGGAGCATGACCTCTGCTTGGCAGTGGCTCTTGCAATATGTTCAACTTCTCATCATGTATTTAGAATTATTTATTACATGTTTTGCAGTAGATTACTGAATTATAACGGTCAATTATATTCTGATAATTTCACAGTAATGATTACCAAATATAATTTCACAGTAGCCGAACTATATTTGGCGTAAAAATAAAATATTTATCATTAATGAATGTTTTTTTCAGCCGAAATGTAGTCAATCATAATAAAAAATGTACGTGATAACTGTAGTTCGTAAATATTTACAAATGTTGTGCTGAAAAACATCTAAAATCTAAAAATAATCATGGAATTATATTTTGCTTCAACATTGTGACGTCATTATTTGATGACGTCATGAAGATAAGAGTATGACGTTGCGCGGCAAAAATCAGTAAAATGGTGTAAAAATCGTTAAAAAATCATGAAATAAACAGAAAATTTGTTTGTTTTACATGTAAGATCAAATAATATTTCACTCGTGAACCCCAGCTTTTATATTTTCACTCGTGGCTACGCCACTCGTGGAAAATATTGCATCTGGTGTTCACTCGATGAAATATTTTTCGATCTTACACTGAAACAAACAAATATCCTCTATATAAAACTTTAATGCTTTGAATTACCACATCAAAATGTTATATTGTATTTTGATTTTTGAGAGATAAAATTCAATGTGTTACACTCTTTTATCCTTGATCAGTATCATTAAAACTTAAAAGGAATGTTTATTGGGTGATCTTCTGTCAAAGCTATCCAAGATATAACTTTACATGCAATGGCCACCAAAAATAAAACTAAGAAAAATTTTCTTGTCAAACTACTGACAAAATTTATTATACATGTAATTTCACAATCACACTAATGATTCTTGAAGAAACTCTACTGAGGTCCAAAGGACTAAAAACACTAATATTTTACATATATCAACAAGGGCACTTGAAAGATATGAGAAAAATATGCAATAAATAGTACGGAAATATAATTTAATATTGTATTTTTTGTGAGATTCTAAGCCTGACTCTATACTGGTAAGATAGACAAGTCATAACTAGCATTCTTATGTGATATTTCATCATTATTCTTTAGGATTATATCACGGCTTTCATTGGTTGTCGGGAAAATCCCCTGCAACATAAATCTCTTACATTAATTTCTGGCTGGTTCCTATATACCTGGTAATATTTAGAATTGAACGAGCTTCTTTCAGACAATAATGAAACCCCTGTTAAATAGTCACTTAGCATACTACTTCTTGGGAAACAAATGGCCTTACCACTAAGTTCTGTACCTGTCACCCAGGGATTTTGAAAGTGACAGAGAACTAGTTAAACTTGTGTGTATACATGTATCGACTATAAATGTCTATGCATAAAAATGATGTATATACCAACAGGATTGGTGTGATGGACGTGGTTTGCTTTGAATCTGATTCAATTCGAGGAAAAACTGAATGTTTGGAGTGTATGTACTTGATGCACCGTACATGATTCATTGAGACGACCTGACAGTACTTATTGTGCTAACTTTGATTACAGACGTCATTGGACAAGCTGTCAAGATTTCATTAACATACAATCCTTAAAAGTAGGAGAGGAACATAGCTTTGCCATCATAAGTTGTTAATTTGGAAAACCAAATTGCTAAAATGTAGGAGTGGATAGCTTTAAGGTACAAAAAAACAAAATTAAACTCCTCCACTATTTTTTTGCACTTTCCGATGATAGATGTATTTTAAAGATATGTATTTTTTTTACGCTTTGTAGGGTCACGGATGGTGTCCAAAAGAGAAATTTTGCTCCAAGTCACATGACATAGACCTTATCATTGATGTTGACAATTTCATGGAAAAAAGAAAGGGCAGAAAACGAAAGAGAAGACGTGAAAATAAAGAAGCGAAAGAAACTACTGATGAGTTGTCCGAAAACGAAAATGTTTCTAAGGGAAGCAACTCTGCTGTATTAGATGCTGGGGATGTCACAGTGGAAAATGGAGATAGTGATGATGGTTTAAAAAGTAAATTAAATACTGAAGAAATTTTACAAACACTTAAAAGACAGGTAACTGAAGAAGAAACGCATGCCAATGGTGGACATAGAGCCGGCTATGATGCATTCATGACAGGTTTTATTTATGCAGTGTACAGGGCCTCTGGTGGTAAATGGATAGATAAAACAGAGGAATGGAGGAACAAGTTATATCTTGGTGGAAAAGACTATCCTCTTTCAGTTAGTAAAAGCAGTTTTAGCAAACATTCCAAACAGCACTTAGAGAAAATAGGTACCATCAGAAAAACTGAAGTTCAAAAATAAATATAAAAATCAGTATAAAAATGGCTTGTTTTTATAAACATGTATTTGCAATAAAAAGTTTGATACGTCATATATCAAATTACTAATTATATTGTCTAATAACAGACTCCATACATCTAATAAATCTATAAATGTTAAAAAAACAATTTTTTTTATTTATATTCTTTTGTACAAAAAAAATCAATTTTAACCCGCGAATGGTGTGCATATTTTATTGAATGGATTCGTCTAACTTCCATTTTTAAGCTGTAGAACATTACATGTACTAAAATTAATGAATTACTACAAAATACTGATTTATTGAAAATTACTAAACTGGAAATCTCTAAAAAACTGTCCAATGCATATGAATGGTGTAACCAAATTTGCAAAGCCCTTTCCAGTAGCATGTGTTACAGATGGTTAATGGTTAAAATCATTCCAAAATACTTGTTAACCCTTAACATGCTGAATATTTTAAATGGACCTGTCCCACTACCATTTTTGGGACTGTCCATTTCAAGTTTTAGAGATTATCAGATATCAATTTGAAGATTGAAAGTTTGTCAGGCAACAGTATTGAGCCTGGTCAGACTGCACGGATGTGCAGGCTGGCCTGGCTCTATACTGGTTGCAAAGGCTTAATGCTTTCAGTTCCAGCACTTTAAGGGTAAATAAATTATTTATAGCTTTTGAGATGTATGGGCTCATTCATAGATTCATTCATAGAAAAATATGTCAGTTACAGCCTTCTTAAAAAAACTTCCAGGAAAACGCCCATTGTATTGTTATATACATGTAGTTTGAATGAAACAAAATGTATTTTATAGTCTGTGAAATATATCGTATTCCTTAATATGAAAGGAATTTTTATCATGCAGTCTTAGCTCATATTTCTTATAAAATAATCTTCTGTTTAGAGAAAATCTGACAAATGGTAAAATACTTGATTGTATGGTAAAGGTCATACTTTTGGCCCTTAATATTTGAAATTTGATTTATTTTTATTTTTTTGGAAGATTTCTTACAAATATTCAAGGTTTTATAAGCTAGTCTGTTTCGAAGTAAAAGTCTGAATATTAGGATGGCTAAATACTGTTGTACTGTATAAGAATATTTATTTATTTATTTATGCGTTCCATCTTCTGTACGGCCTTTACACTTGAAGTCCCGATGCAGTGATGAACTGCACCGTTCTTCTAAGGTCCTATTTGCTGCCCCATAGCTTGTTGCTGTACACTGTATCTGTAGGCCAATACGTCTGGCGGGCCTCTTCCAGGTTAGGGCAGTTCTGCAGGATGTGGAAGGGTGTCTGTTCTTCTGCTCCACACTGGCATGAAGCTGTATCGGCGAGACCAAGTCTTTTCATATGCTTTCGTAGACGGCAGTGTCCAGTTCTGAGCCTGAAGATGGTAACTTGGCTGGGTCTGTTTAGTTTGTTGATATTGTCGTTTTGGGATTTGTTAGCCATCGTTTTTGTCTTTCCATGTGTTTTTGAATGAGCACTTTACTAAAGTCTTTGCTTCATTATAGGATATTGGGGTTGGGGTTGCTCCTTCTTTGACCCTTTCTTGGCTAATTTGTCTGCAGCTTCGTTGCCGGCAATGCCAACATGGGCAGGAATCCATTGCAGTACCACGTTGTTGTTGTTCTGACAGGCCGTCTAGTTGTGCCAGCAGCTGTCTAGTGGTGGTGTTTGATGGTCCTGCTGAGAGGGATTGTAGAGCTGACAGGGAGTCTGTCAGGAAGACAACGTTCCTTCGCTGTATCCCTTGCTCAATCAGGTGATGTGTTGCTGAGTGAAGGGCCTGTACTTCGGCTCTGTAGTTGGAGCTCTGTTTGCCCACTGGAGTAGCTAGGGTAAAGGGAGTCCCTTCAGGGTAGCTGATGTACACCCCGCTTCCAGCGTTTTTGACTGCTCTTTCAGCTGATCCATCGGTGTAGGCTTGGATCCATGAGTGTGGTGGATAGCGCTGATGGATCATGTCCAGTGTATGGGCTTTTTGTTGGACAGGATTTTGTGACTTGTTCTCAACTCCTGGGACATCAACTCTGATTGTTGGAGTGTGTTGTCTAGGGATCCATGTGTCTGGGGTGAGTGGTTCTATGTCTGTGTCAACTTCCACTCCCTTTTCACGATTCAGATCTCTGACAATGTGACTCAGGCTTTGTCTTTTAAGTCTGCTTTTGGGTCTGCTCTGGAGTTTTTAGTGGAGCGGAATGGGATGATAGTCTCGGTGCTTTCTCAGAATGTACTAGCACCTTGCACTGCCTCCTTGACTCTAGCGGTTCGAGGTTGGCTGTCTTTTCCATTTCTGCAACCGGTGTTGTCTTCATTGCCCCTAGGATGATGCGTAGGCCTGAATTCTGGACTTTGTCAAGTTTGCTCTTAGTGGTTTTGGAGGCTGTTGTCCATGATGTGGAGGCGTACTCTGCTATCGGTCTTACTGTGCCAGTGTAAATCTGTTTCAGGATTTTTTCCATTTGCACCCCAGGTTGTGCCAGCAAGCTTTTTCATAATGGATAACTTTTTGATGGTTCTTTCTTGAAGTTTGTCTATGTGTGGGTTCCAAGTTAGACGTGAGTCGAGTGTGACACCAAGGAATGTTGTTGTTTCCACTTGGGGTACTGAGATGTTGTCCAGGGTTAACTTTGATTTTCTCCTTGGATCTTGATAGTGAGAAAAGCATGGTGACTGTCTTGGTTTTGTTGATGTTTAGGGCCCACCTGTCTGTCCACTCTGCTACCTTGTTCACAGCTGTTTTGGATTCGAACTGTAACAGTACCTACACTTGTTTCGGAGCTCCAGATAGAAAGGTCGTCAGCATGTAGGGTGTTCGACACGCATCTTGGCAGGTTGGACACAAGGTCGTTGATGTATACGAGGAACAATGTGGGGGATATTACTCCTCCTTGTGGCACCCCCTTCTCTCATCTTTACTTGCTGACTGAGAGTGTTGTCGAGCTTGACTCTTGCTGTTCTGTTGAATAGGTAGCCCCTGATCCATTTGTGCAGCTTCCCAGACACCCCGTTCTGAAGCAGCTTCAAAAGCAGACCCTCCTTCCAGACTCTGTCAAACGCTTTGGAAAGGTCAAAGAAGACGGCAAAGCACCTTCTTTTTCTCTTGGAAAGCATCTTCTATGTCTTGCGTGAAGTAGGCTAATTGGTCTTCCGTACTGTGTGATGTTTGTCTATATCCAGTCTGAGTTGTGACAAGCAGGTTGTTTGACTCAAGGTGCCAGACTAGCCTCTTGTTGATGATCCTCTCCAGGAGTTTACCAGTGCAGCTCAGTAGACTGATGGGTCTGTAGCTCTCTGGTTTGCTCTTGTCTTTACCCTTCTTGAAGATGGGTATGATGTGTGCTTCTTTCCATTTGGAAGGGAATTTACCAGAGTGCCAACTGAGGTTAAAGATGTAGAGAAGAGTATTCTTGGCCTTGTAGCCTAGATGTTTTAGCATTTCATTGGTAATGCCATCTGCGCCTGGTGACTTCTCTCTCTTCAACTTCTTCAGTGCACCCTGTAACTCCTGCATGGTCAGACTGTCCAGACATGTATGGGCTCACTTCACTTTCCCTATGGTTCTCCAGTGTTCTGGTCTCTTGTCTTACTTCTCTGACTCGTTCTTGTGGGAGGTTGACGCTACTCTCCGCCTCGTATACTCTGGCAAATAGGTTTGCAGCGGCCTTTCCTGTGACAGGTTCGCTGTCAACTAGGAGGACTGTTTTCTTCTGCTGTCGGTTTGTCGTTGTTCAGCAGATTGGTAAGATGCCAGAGGCTTTGTGGTGTCTTTTCTCGAGATTCAGAGATGCAGTTTTTTCATGCCAGCTTTTCCTTGTCTGTTCTGCCTTTTCTTCCTCAAAAAGTTCTTTTAGTTGATTATGTTTTAGGATGTTCTGTTCAGAGGGATTTTCTTCCATGATTTCTCTGGCTTCATTCATCTGATTTTGAAGTTTGTCTAGCTCTGAGGTCCAGAAGGGTTTGTAGTCCCGCCTTCTACCTTCTGGGGTATGGACTCTTGAGCGGCACTGAGAATCGCTTCAGTGAACAAACTTGCAGCCTTGTCCACATCTGATGTTTTTAGTTTGGATGTTCTTACAGTTTTCTGTCTGTCAGGATCTTAAAGACATTCCAGTCAGCTTTCTTGTAGTTCCAGCTTGGTGGTAGTTTCGCCTTTCTCTGTTTGATACTTTTCTGGACAGTGATGATAACTGGTTTATTGTCACTGCCCCCGAGTTGTGATGACACTTCCACGGTGCGAGATTTTCTGAATGTCGTCTGTGTCAATAGCTAGATCCGGGCTGCTTGTCGTGTGCCAAACTCTAGAATAGAATGTTGGTGTGTCATCTGGTTTGTTAAGGAGGACGAGACGATTGGACACAATCCAGTCCTCAACTTCCTCGCCTTTTGCATTAAGCTCCTTGTATCCCCAACTAGGAGAGTGGCTGTTGAAGTCGCCTACTGCTATCCAGTTGGTCTGGTTGTCATTTAGTTGAGGTAGCTTGATCTGCTTGTTTGGAGGGCTGTAGAGATTGAGGACAGTCAGGTTTCTGTCTGGCAGGGATGACCTCTACACTGATGGACTCTGTGTCTGAATCAATAGAGCGTTCTTTCTCAACTGATTGGTAAACTATTCTTCACTAGGGTGCAGACCCCCACCCTTAGGTCTATTTGTCCTATCATGTCTGTAAAGTTCATAACCTCTGATGAAGAATCGGTGGTTTTCATTAGATGGGTTTCCTGGATGCAGCAGATGTCGATTGCTGTTAGTTTTCAGGAAATTTTTGCAGCTCTAAGCTTTTTGTGCTGCACACCCTCTGCGTTCCCAAAAAAGAAAACGGAGGGGCCCGGTTGTATAGTAAACCGTATCCTGTCCCTTTCCCCCAGTCACTATAAAAAAGTCCAGAGGCCCCAGTCAGTAGGGGTTTTGGTGGGCCCCCCTTTGAGGGTCGGGGGCCCGGGAAACCCCCCTTAACCCTGTCCCCGGTTCACAGGAGACACCACATTTGAAAACCAACGTTTAGGGTTTTACGGCCATCGAGGGGTTTTTGCGGAATGTCCGATTGTTCCCACCGGAAAAAAAGGTGACATTCGCCCACTTCGTTTGAGGTTTTTCTCAGGGTGGGCCCCCTCCAATTTAAAAAGTTTGCGAGGCATTTGAAAAATTACCTTTCCGGGCCCTTGGGTTTTTTTATTTTGGGGATTTCCTTCACCCAGCACTTTCCCGGGGGGGTATAGCCCCAAGGGGAGCGGAAAGGTTTGAAGTTTGGGGTTTTCCCTTCTCCTAGAAACTGCCTTCCGGCTTCGATTCTGTCAACTCGAAGCAGTGGTTATGGCGCCAAGGGGAACCCCCTTCGCCCCCTTCTACTGTTTATATTAAACAGGTTCCGCCGGGCCTAAGAAAAAGCCACGCGGGCAGGGGCCCGGGGTTTATAGGTGACAAAAGGCTATATTTTTCCCCAAAAAAACCGCCTTGGGGCATTTTCTAAGTTTAAAAGGGAGCTTGTCCCATTCCCCCCCCTGGGGATATCAAAACCCCTTTGGGCCCATAAAAAATATGAAACGGCATTTAAAAAAAAAAGCCCCCTTTTAAACAGAATTTTTATCAACAAAAGAATTTTTTCCCCAAGTTTAAAGGGAAAATTTTTCCTTCAACTTTTCAAGATAATTTTTTCCACTGGGGGACAAATTCCCAAAAAAGGAAAAAGGGCCCAAATTTAAAAAATGGTTGTTTTTATAAATCTGGAAAATTTAAATGTTTTTGGTTACTTTTAATCAGCCCTTAGAGCCACCCCCCTTTAAAAGGGCACTTTTCCCCTCACCCAAAAATTTAAAGCTGTATTGCCCCCTGGGAACTGTGGGGGTAAATTTGGGG